GGGTCCAAACATGTGAACTTCTCCTTATTTATTCGCACATAAAAAAAAGGGGGGAGGAAGTACTGAAAAAAATATTTTTTTCTGTAAATTAAAACATTGTGCACAAAATAATTTACAAAAAAAGACAATTGCTACAAATTGTTTTTTTCTCGCTGTGTTTGAGCTTGTGTACCATCAGATGGGAATCTTGTGACTCTTAAGTAGCAGAAATCACATGAGATGAGTAAGGGAGAAGGACATACAATAGCTATATTTATTCAACCTTCTCGGAAATACCTTGATCTAATTACTTGCAAAGATTGATATAAATATGGGAGGCTGGAAACACTTTAACCCCTCTCAGAAAGCTTGAACTCAGAACTAAGATTAGCCGCTACCTGGTTTTAACACTCCCTGGGAAGCGTTTGCTGAATGAAGTCTTATCTGTCAAAGTTCTGGAGCATGGCTGTTCTCGTTGCTGGTGGTGACCAGGCATATTGCTCCTTTCATTCTCCCTTACTGCCCCAAAAGGAGAAAAGGGAGAATCTGATTGGTTCTGACATCTCAATGGAGTTGACTTATAATACACATATAGCCTGCTCATCTGTCAGAGTGCATAGTGAAAAAAAAAACATCACCTTCTTAAAAAATTGCAGATAAAAACACAGATAAATCAAGTATCTCAAATGCCTACTTGCAGCATTTTTTCATTTTCTTAAACATTTTTTTTACTCACTTGCAGTATGCCTTTGAACTTGTTGGCAAATTTGACTTATATAGGAAGAGTCAGTTCCCTAGCAGAGCCACCTCCGTCCATGCACTCTCCTGTTCTGGGAGTGTCTGGCCCAGCTCCTCCACCCCTCCCCTCACATCCATACTTAACCTTTTATATAGTTGGTGGGAGGAGCATAGGGGAATATTTTAGAGTGTCTTTTGAGTGACACCTCCAAGGCTGCTGACATCACATGCACACTGGCACTGCCAGCAGCAGTCTCAACACTTTGGATGTCTACGTAGTTAAATATCATGCATCAAATATGTTTAATTCACATATAATCCTATAGGAAGATTGTTGTTGAACTGAATGGTTGGACAACAGGGTCTAAACGTAGTGAATAGGGTGAAGCTGTGCTGGCTTCAATCATCCAATCATGCGCAAGTGACAAAGCAAACTGGCCTGGGTTTGTTTTGTTTGGGCATTCGAGCAAACCAAATCCAGGAATGCCTTTGGTCCGCACAGCGTCATTGGATGAAAGGATACAGTGGCCGGAGCATAACAACCAATGACAATGAGGGGCTGAACAGCATCAGTGGTTGATAGGATCCAGTTGGCCGCACCATAACAACCAACGAGGCTGTGGGGCCGTACAGTATCAGTTGTTGCTAAGACAATGGTGGACTGGCCAAATCGTTTGCCGATTTGGTGACCTGCAAACAACAAAGCTCATCCTTAATGATAGGGTACACCTCGTTCACTAAGCTAAGTGCAAATTCACTGCAAAGTGAACATGTTCTACTACTATACTACTACCTGAACGATGCCTGCATCCAATCAGATTGTTCAGGTGTTTTGAGAGCCAGCGGGGCCAACTAGCAAGATGCTGAAGCTTGGCCCAGTGGGAGATTCCTCCATCCACACAGTTTAGCGTAGATGAAGAAATCTGTTGCACTTGTTCCATCTGAAATAGAAAATGAGCTGATAATCTACAGGTCTATGGTCAGATTTGGAGGTTTTTGTAATCCCAAAAGTTGATGGGTAACCTAAAATATAATAACAACCAATCAGATTTCAGCTTACAGTAGCCGCCCCATGAAAAACATGCTTTGATTATACTGCTCGCTTATTGCTGCTTACTAAAACCAGAGGAAAGATATCCTCTCAGAATCCTATTGGTTACCACCGGCATCACAGGCAATTTTTCTTTCGATTTTGCAGAACGGAACGCTAATGACAGGAATATGCCTATTTACAACTGGGAGTGTATCTATAAATGACTCAATTACCCACCCGTCAGTTCCTATAGAGCTGCTTTTATTGTAGTGTATGGAATCCATATGAAAGCTGAGTCTCCGAGGGATTAGGCCAGACTTGGGATCGTTGCCATATGGAGTTTGCTGCAGCACACAAGATGAGCAAATCCGTATTGTCAGTATTATAACATAAATGGGACATATTGTTGCTGCGATGGGTATTGTTAACCCGTGAATCTCGGTGGCAGAAATATTTGTCACAAGCAAAAGCAGTAAAACTATTTTTACAACCACATCAACAACTGACACAGAGAATTAATAATGCATAGCGGTAGCCGGGTGATGGAGTGAATCACTTTTGGAATCAGGTTGTGGACCGGTTTCTGTACCCTTTAGTATATGTAAACCCAATTACTAAAATCTCATTTAAGCTTCATCATCTAAATGTAATTTTAAAAGTCCTTTTAAATTTCTATGCATCTGCAATTTAAATAATACCCGGTAATCTTTCCATAAGGGTCCTTTTTTCACTTCCGTTATGGGTTTACAACGTACAGTCCCTATTTCTCAGTTGCTCTTCTGTGTTGTCACCATGTGACCTGCACTTCTGGTGAAGACTATAAGGTCTCATTCACACAGCTAAGTGTCGGCCAGATCCGTGCGGCGTACACTCCCGTATGGGGCCGTTCCCAGGAAGGACAGATGCAGTGTGTGATTGTGTGCAGCAGCCTGTTCTTCTCTATGGGAGGACGCAACCGTACGGCGTCGTACGTTTACCTGAACTGCACATGCGTGCGGGTGTCCCGGCTCGGACGCAGACAGGGCCCATTCTGTTTGCGTACCAGTACCGACACCCGCACGAATGTGCAGCTCGGGTGAGCAAAAAGTGTTAATGATACACAGCGCTTTAGCACTGATAAATGTCATACAGTGAGGGGTGGCATCTACTTAAAATTTTGCTTGGCTTGGAAACCATTAATACATTCAGACATCACAGGAGATGAAGAAGCAGGTACAACATTTGAAAGCCACCAAAGTCAAAAGTTCCTATACTTTTCTCTCTGCTCACAATGGAAGTTGATCCAATCACGCATTTCAAAGGCCATACACAGCCAGATCTCTCCATGACAATGGACTGCATTGACTGCATTGCTAAACCGCCAGCTGCAATGCTTATCCTTGATGCATTCAAATTTCAGGACCAGCACACAACCAGAGAAGTCCTCCTTCCCATTTCTGTAGAGACAAGGGAATGATTATTGACTAGTTCGAGATAAATCAATAAATAATTCATGATTGCATCTTGCAAAAAACAAAGAGCCAGCTATGATGATTTTCATCCAAAAAGGTAAATCTTATTCCAAGTGGGAAATCCAATCATATTAAACCATATCATTACCTTGATGATGGTGATGGATAGACATTTTTATTTGAACTGATTGATTCTTTGAGCAATCGTTTGTGAATCATAAGGTGTACAGGCGTCATCCTTGCATGACTTTCAAAGATTTCACGCCTCGGTTCTACGTTCCCCACAAGGTGCGTGCCCTAACACGGTTTCCATTTTCAATTCGAGCAGCAACAGTCAGATTGGCGCTCCCAAAACCGCAGCACGCAGTGTGCTTTTTTTTCCCCATGACGCCCTGCAGGGCAATGCATTGGTGTGAACGGGTCTTTTGAAAACAATCTATTTTCTCTTGTCCATGCCTTTTGCCGTGTTTAGAAATAGAGCAAAGTGCTGGAAGACGCGCCTGGTGCGAACAAGTCCTTATTAAAGCTGCCCGGGTATCTTGAGCCAAAAGAGGTGATCACTTAACCACTGAACATCTAATACCTCCGCACTTCCTTTTCTGACGAAGACACAAAAGAACAATAGCCTGAGATCCATCTTTATTTTGCACCAAGAACCTCTTGTATTTTCAAGTGCACAGGCTGTCGATTTTTTTTGTTTTCTTTCACGTATGTTCATGGATCACACGTATGAGGTTGTTTTTTTTTTTCTATCTTAGTCACAGTTCTCTAGCACATTAGCTGAATAAAGTTCCCTAGCTGGGGGATTATTATAAGGTGTCACCAGTGCCAGACTTTGCATGCTATGATGTACAAGTTGTGACTAGCCGGAAGCTTCCTTTAGGCTGAGGGTCAGATTAACCTAACACCTCCTTTTAAACACTTCATAAAACTCATTTCAGAACGAAGACCATTCAGCGGAAATATGCAAAGCACACAGTGCCACAGCCTTGAATAATCTTGTCAACTGAAAATGAGTTATGGGAGATAAAGCCTCAATCCTGTTTAGCTTTTTTACAACAAAAAAAATAAAATAACTATTTTCTAATCATCTCTTGAAATGTTTCAGTCAAGTATACGTAATAAGCCATTGCAGTACAATATGGAGATATGGTTGTTCTGCGTCGGCCATCTTGACACAAATGCTAAAACCTCATGCCTAGCGCTAAACAGTGCCTCAGATTCAAAGTGCTGGGAAATTATGGGGAGACTGAAGATTCTGTCTGAGGTATCTCAGACAGTTCTCACCTGCGATATTTTTATATACACGGTTTGGTTAAGGTTAGGTTTCTCTCAGAAACACAAAGCTCACAGCTCACCCCTGTCCTGCATCCCTGCCATCCACACGCGGTGCACGGAAGACCCTCTTCCGGAGTGATAGTCCCAAAAACTGTAGAACCAGCACACGATGATCTTCCAAAGGGAATTAAACGTTATTCCACATGCATCTGTAGAGAAAACAAACCACTGACGCGTTTCTGCCTTGCTCGATCTGAGTCATAGAATGACTAGACCTGAGTAAGAAAGAAAGGGGTCAGCATGTTTGATTTTCTTTGAAAGAAAGAAAATTGTGCTAGTTCTACAGTTTTTTAGGTTTTGATCAGTTCAGCCATTTATAGATGTTCAACTTTTAAGCTGCACCAAAAAAATAAAAAAATAAGAAAGCTTAAATATTGTTGCTTGCTACCGGATTTACTCCATGTTTTAAGTCATGAACCTACAGAGCTTTGTATGCCATTTATACCTATTTTGTTTTTCAGATGAAATGAAAGGAGACTATGATTGTATGGGACCTGAAGCCACTCACATAACCACTATCAATAACGGTACAGGTAATTAATAGATACATTTCCTTGTGGCATCCGTTATAATAATCATGTTTGTTATACTCATCTCTGAAAAATATCTCCAAAAATATAAAATTGGGGCAACTTTAAGTCCCACCCCCGCCTGCCCAAACCCTAGGTCTATCCAATGGAGTTCAGAACTAAGCAACACCACACCCACAGCCTATGCAATAGAATCCAGAACTAAGCGACACCACACCCATTGCCTATCCAATAGAGTCCAGAACTAAGCGACACCACACCGATTGTTCTTAAACTGACCCCTTTCAGTTTATTTTCCAACAACATAGAAATAGCTGGTAGTAATTATGTTAATTTTTTTCTTCGCAGCATGCTAGTGTTTTTATTTTTTAATTCTTACTTATTGGTATTGTAAAAAGGCTATGAAAGAAACATTATGGGTAAAAATATTTAAATGACAGGTAGCCATAAGAAAGACACATGGTTCTGTAAGTGAATGCCGCACCGTGTTTTCCTTACCCTCCAAAAAAGATTGTTTGTTCAACTAGCAATTACCCAATATTGTCAAGTTAAGAGTCCACTTGTAAGCTGTTAAGAATTGGAATGGGGTCAGAGGTTCTAGGCAACATTAACAGCTCACTCTCTTTACCATGGGTCGCAGAATGCCAGTTCTAGAGGACATCATTTTTGAGCATTAGTTGTGTTTATTTACGTAAGTGTATCCTACTTGACTGTTAGCGAGTAACATTCTGCCCCAAGGGCACATTTTTTCACCACTGAGTGTAATAATGGCTGACATTTCTTTAATCTCACAAAATAAAGTGGATTCCAATCCCCCGTTCAGATTTTCAACTCCACGCTGCCTGCAAATGCACAATTTCCGATTACTGTCATTTTTTTTTCACCCCCCACTTTTTGAAGACTGATAGCTAGAGACAAAGAGGAATTTTCTTGACAACTTTTTTTTCATTGTTGTTCCGCAGTAAAGAACACAAATTGCACTTCGGGATTTGAAGACTATTTCACCAATAGGAAGATGGACAACAACGACGGGCACGGCGTTAGCATAGCAGAGTACTTACACCGCAGCGACACAGCCATCATTTACCCAGAAGCCCCGGAGGAGCTATGCCGCTTGGGAACACCAGAGGCCAACGGGCAGGAGGAGAATGGTGAGGCTGTGATTCATTTTTAGATACTACAAGGAGGACCCATTGCAGCTGTTGCAATTATAAATGCACTCTGTGCCGGGGTGTTTACCTTAAAATTTCAGGAACAGCTGCACAGGCCTGGAATTCCATGAGCCGAACATTAAATAAGCTCATGATGTCCTGTTTGCAAGTTCCTGACATTTTTCACTGCACTCAAAGGACAAGAATTGCTGAACAACCAGGATCTGAGGATGAATTGAACACAACTAGCGTTGAAATTAAAAACAAGCAAGTGTTCTAGGTAATTCTCAACATAAATTATAAGAGAACAGGAGGCCTCGGCACGGATGGATGTAACAATGAAGCGATTCATCCAACTAATTGTTGTTGGGTTAAAAAAGAATTCTAGGCCTTGGAGACATTTGTGCCTGCTGTGTTAAAAGGGGGAGAGCAGCCATGTTGTTTTCAAGAAACGTAAAAGTACTCATAACACCTTTTTGCAACAGAAACTTCTTGTTATTAAAGTTATATCTAAAACCAACATTTTTTATATCAGTTTTAGATTGAGGATGGTTGGATCCCTTGTTAGTTTTTATGTCTGTGTCCTATTGGAGAGATTTCCTTTGCCCTAGAAACACAACAGGAAGTGAGTATAACACTTCACAATGGGGGAAATGTCATCTTAGTTGCCCCTTACCTCCTGCTTGAGTGACTGTAAAAGTTTGGATTGCCGATCACTTTCTGGACCTGTGACAACGGTCACCAGGGCATATAAGAGAGGGTGAATTTTCCATGCAAGCCACAGATAACTTTACATTTCTGACAAGGTTTTCAACACTCTGTTTATCGCAAAAAAAATACACTTTAAGAAAAATTTAATTAAAAATACCCATTTTGTTCCCTGGAACTCTTTGCATTGCCATCTCTTACATTTTATATCGATAACAGTCTCCTATAGAGCTTTTTATTAACTGTGTGTCCACCAACATGCAGAAACATGGAGTAAAATCATGAAATCTTCTTTCCGGGTCAGTGTTGAACTTTGAACCATTAATTATCAATTGAACTAGATATGGGAAGCAGGAAAAACGTTTACAACAGTATCATCACCAGTATCAGAATATACCAGTATCCTCTGCAGATATAAAATGGTTAGATGTAAGACTTGTAATTAATTTTCTGTTACAGTATAAAATGATAGATGCATGGAGAGGGATGAACAACATTTTAAAATGACGATACGACATTGCAGCAGATTGCGTTGACTCCAAACATACCATCCTGGGCAGGAAGCCCATTAGCTGCCATTGATTCACTGACCTTTTGGCCTGTGTCTTTTTCTCTTCTATCTCCACTCTAGACCTGCCACCTGGAACACCAGATGCTTTTGCCCAGCTGCTAACCTGTCCCTATTGCGACCGGGGCTACAAGCGGTTGACGTCACTGAAGGAGCACATCAAGTACCGCCACGAGAAAAACGAAGAAAACTTCTCTTGCCCCCTTTGCAGTTATACATTCGCCTATCGCACGCAACTTGAGCGGCATATGTTGACGCACAAGCCAGGGAGAGATCAGGTACAGAGGGGGGAGTTGACTTTTAGTGATTCTCTCTTTAATAACCCCTTAGAGAAACTATATTGCTTTGATTGGCAATCATTATTAATTTTTCATGGCATTTTGAAGATGCAGATCTTTTAATGGTAATAGCTTTAATTGAGGTCTAAATGATTTTTTGATGGTCTCTTCTAATATGATTTAATAGTCTTATGTTCACGATCGAATGAGTGTGTTAATTTCTAATTTAGAAATTTTACTTGCACTTTAACTTCACTTTGGTTTAACGTTTTAATGCTGCTCGAAAGGTGAAGGAAACATTGGTATTTTAATTAACGAGTTCTAAAAGAAATTACTGTCACATCGATTTTTTTTCTTTTTCTTTTTGGCGTCATTATAGCACAACGCTATAAAACTGGCCTCATTTTAAAATGGATATCATATTTTTAGATTAAAAATTGCTGAAAAAAATGTTAATGGGCCTTAAATTTTATCACTTAAAATATTAAGTGACTGTGCCAAAGCAGCTGCGCTTCACATAGATTCACTTGTGTCATCACTGCAGGAAGAGAATGTTGGGATTTTTGTCTCAATTATATTTTGCACCTTTTCACAGAATTCTAGAATAAATTGTATGGCTTATTTAAAGTGTATGTAAACCCTAACAATGACTTTCCTTTAGTGATTCCCTTTTGGTCTGTTAAATATATGATTGAAAGCATTTTGTTATATCTGTTCAATAAGTGAAAAAAATACCAGTTGATTATGACAGAAATCCAGTGCTGCTCTGTGACCTGTGCACTCTGCAGTCTTATCTCAAGTAGCCTTATCTGCCTAGGTTACCTGTTTGAACTACAGAACCCCCATTTTATGGAGATAATGAGGGAAATGTGTTCTGTAGTCCTATCCTACTGTCCTGTCCTAAGGGGACACCGCTGTTTCAAAGATATAGAATAGTTAATGAGCAATGGCCCCCCTAGGACACAAAGTATCCTGCTGGCAGGATCACCAGGTGAGAAAAAAGCCTAAACATTAAATTGAATGCAGCCACCACATCTGAGGACTGGCAAGCTGCAATATATTATATATTTTTCTCAGGTTTAGATACACTTTAAGTATAATCACTCACACTCTGGTTTGGTTATCATTTCCACTCTAGTCACAGTTCTTATCTATAGTAAGCAGCTTTACCTTTGTGGCTGGACATTTTTACTGGTATTCAGAAGCTGTCGGTAGGTAGCACAGGATTATTATGCTTCAATGTGCAGGAGACCGGAAGCAACTAGTTGGGGAGACAGGGACATATCAGCAGTCAAACCATAGAAGGAGGATGCCAAATGGTGTATCAAAACATGATCTAAAGGCTAAGCCAAGGCAAGGCAGATTCAAGGCAGGCAGCGAAGGTTCTAGGTCATGTCAGTCTGGGTTAGAAACAGTAAAGCAGTTCCCAAGCACACCCTAGAGGCAAAAAAGTTAATTCTACCATGGGCACTGACAAATGGAGGTTTACTTATAAAAGTTTCAATCAAATCAAAATTGATTACAAGCGTTGCAGTTCACACCAATAAGCACCTTATGTACATGGGCACTCTTAATGATGTGAGGTTAGGACACGTACACCATTTGCCAGATTTGTTCACATTCCTGAGCAAACCGTAAATGTCTCATGCAGGTACATGAGCTAGCATGTGAGTGCCAGTGTAAGCAAAAGACCTGACATTTACAAATAGCATTAGCAACCCATAGTAGCCAATCAGATAACAGCTTTCAATAGCTTTAAAGCCAGTCAGGCAAAGCCTTTTCTTTTGTAGAAGGAAGAGGAATAGCAGTACCTACCCACATCAGCCAGTCAAACAGCATCTTTCAGGAGTTTAGGGACCAAACCGGTGCTGACTTTTGTAGACCACCTTAGAGAAATGACAGCTTTAATCTCATTGACTTCTCTAAGGAGCTCATCCATTTCTACCACCATTAAAAACTATCAGAGACTATTATGTTGATCATTCATCCCTGTTAAAATTAATCCAAATTTGTATTCGGCTTTTCATAAATATCTCTACAGAATTTAGGCTTATTTACGTTCAGTATTTATACAAATTTGTTTCAGTCCTGTCCTGACAGAGAAACAAAATTGAGCACCAAAAAAAACAATTTTCAGTTAACAACAAAGATCCCTAAAAACCACATGACTGAGCCTTTAACATGTACACGTCGATGGACTTGCTTGTGTTGGCGCGTTCTAACTTCAAGCTTTGGTGTTGAAAAGTCCCCTCATTTGCTCGTGGCATTTACAATTAGTAAATTAAAATGATTGTATCATATTAACAGTGGCACAACTAAAGTTTATAGTGGTCCTCGGAGGGCTGTGGGGGGAGTCCGAGCAGCTGTTGCTGTTTGTTTATGCAACTCAGCAACATATGAGCCCTGGTCCCTCAGTGGAGATCGACGGGTTGGGCTAAGGCTTGATCTTTGAAGGTTGCTAGTGTTTGAACAAACCTCCCTGTATCCTGTGTACACCATCTGTCTCACCAGGAATGTGGGAAGGCTCAGTACACCCCAGCAGTTGTCATGCCGCTTCTGTGCTCACTGTCTTTTTGTGTGTGTAAAAGCTTTTGTGTCCTACTGCTTGAAGCTGGCTGACATACCTTGAGCATCGCCATGCTGCTATTTCCACATCCTCTGCTGCAACTGACATGTTTCTTAAGCACTTTAAACTTCACCTGCTGCATCAAGCGTATACCTGGCGTCTTCTTTTCACACAATGATCAGATATTTTATCAGCAGAGAACCATAAATTGACTTTTTGACATATAATCACAGAGCTGTCTTTCTCGTTGACTCCAATTTAAGCTTTTTTTTCTGTTCTATTTTTTTGGGCAGTGAAAGATGTTCCTCTTTTCTAGCTAACCATTTTTCTACCGGATTTTACAATGTAGCGCAAAAAAAAAAAGGCTAGAAGAATTTTGTGATTAACACAGAAAATTGTCAGTCCATATTGTTTCTGTAGATCATTACATTGAATATTTTTTTAAATATTCGGTGTATTGTGGTGAACATGTGTTTGGTATCCTTCTCTCTTTCTTGAATGGTTTTAACAACTGTAAAAATGTATACAATTGTTTTTGTAAAATTGTTGAAATCAAGCTGTTTAACAAAACTATAAACATATATATATATAAGTAAAAAATTGATTTTGTTTGTTTTTTTAACACAGCATCAAATGTTGACCCAGGGAGCAAGCAATCGCAAGTTTAAATGCACAGAGTGTGGCAAAGCCTTCAAATATAAGCACCATTTAAAGGAACACCTCCGAATACACAGCGGTGGGTATCTGAACTGTTGAAGTTCTGATCTGGGTTTGATATAGATAATGGGATTTAGAGAATTTTAATAACAAGACTTATTCAAGCATAAGTACAGGTAGTTCTCTAAATTTGCAGTTGCAGGCAGCTATTAGCCTGTGTGACATAAGGAAAGGGGAAGTCATCGAGGGGCAATATATTTCCCCTCGCTTTCTATCATATGTTCAAGACTAGCGGAACCCAGACCAGGTTTTCCGGTAGACTTTGGGTCTTGGTAAACCAGTTTGGGTTTTTTGTCTCTCACCTGGATTGTGTAATTGATTAATGATTGATTATCCAGGTTAGATAAAAGGGGAAGGCTGAAGCAGGATGTTGCTCTGGCCTGGGACTCAAGCTGCCCACACACCTTACAATTTATCTGCAGATTTTCTGTGGTCAGATGGAAAAAGTCCAACAGATTGGCCCAGGTGGAGATTACTCCATCCACACAGTTAAGTGTAGATGGAGGAATCTGTTGCACCTTTTCCATCTGACCACAGAAAATCTGCAGATAAATTGTATGGTGTGTGGGCAGCTTAAGGCAGCATTCTGAGAGAGCTACAAGTTGGATGTTTCTAAGTAAAAGGTTGCCGAAAATATTTTGGTTTTGTGAGGTGGCTGAGATAAGCTCACCACCTGTTAGAGAGGAAACCTGCCTGTTTAGCCAGAGCCTGAAAGGCAAGGATTTGTTTTCTGTTTTATTTTGTTTTATTTTAACCTTTTAAATAAAAACTGACAGCCTAAAAAAGGACTTTGCTGCATGGACTACCTTTTTTTCCCAGGGAAGGTGATCCCCATTTGAGCTATACCCCCCACACCTGTTAATATTGAGTATAAGTGAAGGATCTAAAATGTGGCAACCCAGGAAGAGCAAGGAGCATATTTATAAGGCATTTTATGTGACATTCACCAAACATTCAGAGCCAGTTAATCATTCCCAGACTTTGTCCAAAAAAAGTAAAATAATCTCTCTGCAAAAGAAGACAATTACTACCTATTCAGGTGTCCTTACTTTGTTCTGTTGTAGAGCTATGTGCCCCACCATGCATAATTCCATCTGCAAGTCCCTATGTCACAATTGGACACAAATGTTACATAGGGGCTGATGGATGACACTACAGAGTGTAGCAAGGACCTAGGCATATGTCAAACCCAGAAGTGTGTGAGATGCTGAGAGTATTTAGGTGGTTGTAGCTCTTAAAGGGACTGAAGATATGACTGCTGGAGAGGTATTAACATTTTTCTTATGTAGAGAGATTCTATTTCACATATTTTGTATAGTGACAGAGTCACTTTATGCAGAAAGCCAGATATAGCTATGGTATTGACCCACTGTTGGCAAATTTGGAAGCCACTCATTCTATTTTGCATTTCTTCCACCATAGGAGAGAAGCCATACGAATGCCCAAATTGCAAGAAACGCTTCTCCCATTCGGGTTCCTACAGTTCACACATTAGCAGCAAGAAATGCATCGGCCTGATCTCTGTGAATGGGAGAATGAGAAACAACATGAAGGCAGGTTCATCTCCAAACTCTGTGTCATCATCTCCCACCAATTCAGCCATAACTCAGCTCCGGCACAAACTGGAGAATGGGAAACCACTTGGCTTGACGGAACCTTCAGGCCTATTAAAGATCAAAACTGAATCACTAGATTACAATGACTATAAACTTCTTATGGCAGCCACACACGGGTTTAATGGTCCTAATCCATTCATGAATGGTGGCCTTGGAGCCACCAGTCCTTTGGGAATTCACTCCTCAGCTCAGAGCCCAATGCAGCACTTAGGTGTAGGGATCGAGGCATCGTTACTTGGGTACCCAAACATTAGCAGTAACTTGAGTGAGGTGCAGAAGGTCCTGGAAATTGTGGACAACACAGTCTCAAGGCAGAAGATGGAATTCAAGTCTGAAGAGATTGCAAAGATGAAGGGCTACCACATGAAGGAAACTGGACCTCAAAGAGAGGAACAAGGTGTGACGTCTCCTGGCGTCCAGCAGGTGGGTCTTCCAGTAGTAAGTCATAATGGTGCCACTAAAAGTATTATTGACTATACGTTAGAGAAGGTAAATGAAGCCAAAGCCTGTTTACAGAGCTTGACTACAGATTCAAGAAGACAGTTTAGCAATATTAAGAAAGAGAAGTTACGTACTTTGATAGACCTCGTAAGTGAAGAGAAGATGCTAGAGAGCCATATTATAGCCACTCCATTTTCTTGCCAGTTTTGTAAAGAAAGTTTTAACGGTCCCATTCCTTTGCACCAACACGAAAGATACTTGTGTAAAATGAACGAAGAAATTAAGGCAGTCCTCCAGCCCAGTGAAAATCTTATTCTCAATAAACAGGGCATGTTGGCTGAGAAACAAGCACTCCTGCTGTCATCAGTACTTTCCGAGAAAGAAATGATTAGCCCTATCAACCATTACAAGGACCACATGTCTGTACTTAAAGCGTATTACGCTATGAATATGGAACCTAACTCAGATGAACTACTGAAAATTTCCATAGCTGTTGGCCTTCCTCAGGAATTTGTGAAGGAATGGTTTGAGCAAAGAAAAGTCTATTCATATGCAACTTCCAGGTCACCATCTTTGGAAAGGACCAGTGGGGAGGTGGCACCAGTAACCACCACTCCCACGAAAGACTCTACATCAGCTAGGTCTCCGGTAAAACCTGTGGATTCTATTACTTCGCCATCTATAGCAGAACTTCATAACCGGGTATCGACTTGTGATATGCCTCTCAGGCTAACAAAACCTAGTCATTTTACTGGTCTAAAGCCAGTTGTTGATAAATTGGACCACTCCAGGAGCAATACTCCATCTCCTTTAAATCTTTCTTCCACATCTTCTAAAAACTCCCACAGTAGTTCTTACACTCCAAACAGTTTTTCCTCGGAAGAGCTTCAAGCTGAGCCTTTGGACTTATCTGTACCGAGACAAATGAAGGAAATAAAAAGTATTATAGCCACAAAGAACAAAGCCAAACCTAATAATGTCACTATTGACCACAACGGTGTTCTTTTGCCCTCTGAGACTGTAGACGAGCCACTGAATTTAACGTACATTAAAAAGGAATTTTGCAATTCCAATCATGTGGACAAAAGCACTAACCAGCTATTTGGCATGAGTCCATTTAGTGGAAAACCTTTGTATACCACGCTTCCACCACACAGCGCTTTTCCACCAGCCACTTTTATGCCTCCAGTGCAGGCAAGTATCCCGGGACTACGAGCATATCCGGGACTTGATCAGATGAGCTTCCTACCACATATGGCCTATACTTACTCAGCTGGGGCAGCTACGTTTGCAGATATGCAGCAGAGGAGGAAGTACCAGCGGAAACAGGGATTTCAGGTAACGGCTAATTATTATAATAGCTATATCTTTATGGGGTCACCCAAGTGTCAATGTAATATTTTGTTGACAGAAAGCCAAATGTCGGTGTAACATTTTTCAATTTACTGGTGGTCTAGGATCACAAGTGACATTGTGTTATTGTTCTGTGTCTCTAAGAGTCAGAAAGGATTCATGTATAATAGAAACTGAAAGAAAGAACTTTCTATATCACCCATAGCAAACTAATCAGATTTTTGTCTCATTTTCTGAAATAATATGTTTGCTATGAGAACACAGTTCAACTTCCAGACACTTTTATTCCCAGTGCCCTGTTAGTCATTGTTCTATAGCTCATGTATTGGTATGATGCTATTGCTTTTTATTTTAGCTGCCTTTGTGCCTTTGCTTTAGATCCACGAGTGTCAGTGTGGACACCTAGGGGATGATTTACTAAAGGCAGATAGGCTGTTCACTTTGCAAGAGAATTTGTACTATGCAGGGAAATTTCCATTTGGCTTAGTGAATGTTGTGAAATTTTGTTTTCCAGAGAATACCCAATCAGGTAAAAAGGTGGGGGGGGGAGAGTTATTTTTCCTTGCAGATGGTTGGATGATGGAAGTCAGCAGTGCTTCACCTCGTTCACTAAGCTAAGGGGAAACTTCCCTTGCAAAGTGCAAATTCTCTTGCAACATGAACAGCCTATTTGCCTATAGTAAAAGCCCCTAGAGTCAATGTTTTATTAATGTAACCACTGTACTATTATTAAGTTACTTTACAAGTGGTGTTTTAAATAAGAATGCTTTGCACAATTGCCAGTTAGAGACTGCAAAGACTGCATTGCTAGTATAGACACTTAGTAGGTGTATCCCTTCTATTCCTTAAAATGGTATCATTCGTTTGCACCAGTTTCATCATCCTGCTTTTTGCCAATAGGTAAAAACCAATCAACTATGAAATTGGTGTATGAATCTAGTATAAGTTACTCATATATAATGCACATTTCCTACTTCTGTCCTGTCTGATAAATAGTTACTCACCTACCACCAACCCCATCCCTTACTGTGAGGCAAGAATGTTGATAATCTTCTCAGATGCCTCAAAGTTTTTTTTAGCTCTATGTGATAGACTTCTTTTTAGGTGGTTCTCTCTTTTCATGGATGGCTGTAAAGATCAGTTAGATGTAATAGAACAGTGTGTGAAATCATAAAAAGCAGCTGCAACTCTTGAGCTTTGTTCAGAAGTTAGATGAATACAGCTCATACTGTAATCCAGTGTTCTTTACATTCTCCAGAATCCCAACAGGTCATATATATCCACATATATTTTCCATGTTGTTTATGTAATAAAAACTCAGGCTTGATATTCTTATAATGTAACCCATATTGAATATATAAATTGGGGAACACTATTATAGCCATGATAAGAAATATGCTAATGGAATATTGGTTTCAAAGCTAATGGAAATAGATTAATCGTACTGTATGCTCTTGGTGGTTACCACCACAACTACAGTTCCATCATTAATGCTCCACTGTGAGTTCATACTGGTAGTTACGTACTTCTGATTAAAGGGAAAAAGTCTGAAGTGGTTGGATTAATAATAAATGGTTATTACTAGTCGACAGTCAGCCTTAAACTGGTATTTTGCTGATATAAAGCTAGGCAATAATTTACTGAAAAAAAATCATATCATAAAGGGGATAATCCAGTTTAAAGTGTATCTATACCCAAAACTTTTTTGTTTTGGATAGAATAAAAAAAGTTTAGAGAAGTGGCGTCACAAGGGAGGTGAGGGGGTGCGACCCGCACCTGGGTGACACCATTGGAGGGGTGACATTAAAATGACTGACAGTCATTTTGGTGTCACCCCTTCTGAATAGTCGGGCACTCAGTCATGGACTGAGAGCCCGACAGTTGCAGGAGAGAAGAGGGGACTCAAAGGCATACCTTATCGCGCCTGGTGACGTCCCCTCCTCACTCTTGGTGATGGACGCCGGCAGGTATCACCAACATTGCAGCGCATGCGGGCTCTGTTAGAGGGGTTTCTATCACTTTTTCTTATGGGGATAACCTCTTACCAGACAGGAAGTAAGGAAAAAAACTGCAAAAGGAAAGCAATAAAAAGCTTATAGAGCTTCTAGCCTTCCTCTACGCAACCTAAAAAAAAACAGTTTTACTTCTTTGTTGCTTTTAGAGAGATTTCCACTTACTTCCTGTCCTGGGGCAACCTTTATTTTTTTCCCAGAGAGGAAGTGAATTAATCTCACCAACAGTGTCTCTGACAAAAGAAAAACCTGACTGGAGTTCTATTCCTTCACCACTCTATCCAAAACAAAAAAAAGTTTTGGCTACACATACACTTTAATTTGTCAAAGTCTCTGAAATTAGACTTTTTTGCCTTGGAGAATAAAAGTTTAAATATGATTAGATGCTGTTGAACAATACAGACACTCAATATTTCAGATTTATATTTTCAGCATTGACCTGAGAACATCTTCTCAAGTATATTCTGGTATGCAAGGACACTTGAAGGTATTTTTAAGCACTGAAGAGTTTTGATCACACAGTAGCAGGAGCGTAACTCTTTGTTAACAACGACCTAATCTGCATATAATCGGAAAGTTTTGCAAAAGTGGAAATAGTCAGTTTGTTGATAATCTCATGCTACTGAGTAACTCAAAATTTTCCAGTGTAGTTCAGCTGTAAGGTTAGTTTCACCAAAATCCATAACATAAGCAATATGAAAGTTAAATAAAAGAATATCTCTGAAAGTTTTATGGTGACTTGTTCTAGACCTTAAATTAAACTGATGTCCGAAAACGCTACGTAAGCCAGCGTAATCTGGTCTCAATTAATTATCGGTAAACCAAGCCTGTACAACACGAAGGCAGGAGACAGCTCTTTGTAGTCAGGACCAAAATAAATCTAAATACACTGAATGATTTAGAATCCACTTTCATCATTGTCTAACGCTGAAGGCATGTGGACGCAAAGCATTGATAAAATATTCCCCATTTTAAATTACAAAATTAAATAGCATGCTTAGGGCCTTTTGTCAGCAGACATAAACTTAAATGGATTGTATAATAACATCTTGCATCTGATCATAAAATTCAATTATACATTATTATTATTTTTTCCTTAAGAAAAAAAAAATGGAAACAAATTCCCTCCTTCGAAAATAGTGTTTATTGTCTGATAAAAATTAATACACTCGGAATTTGAATAAAACAATATTTTTAATGAGGGCACAGAGATTTTCATTAGTTTTATCACCGCGTCGATGCTTAATAAGGCACTGACGTTAATTTGTTATATTACAGGGTGAAATGCTTGACGGGGCTCCCGATTACATGTCAGGCCTGGATGATATGACCGATTCTGACTCCTGCCTGAGTCGGAAAAAGATTAAGAAGACGGAAAGCGGCATGTACGCCTGCGATTTATGCGACAAGACATTCCAGAAAAGTAGCTCCCTCCTGAGACACAAATATGAACATACAGGTAAATAGATACACCTGAGTAGCTGTGCTGTCATATAAGCCAACCCATACATCTGTTCACCCTACACCACAAGAACCCATTGACTGTCCAGTTTGGACATCTGACTCAATGGAGTTGATTTACTAACAGAGTAGAGAATGTTCAGGTATGCATACTGAATGTTCAATTAGCTTAGTCGTTCTGTTAAAGTTCTACTGAATACCGAAGCTGTGTTTTGCGCTTGTCAATGTATACTGGTTTCTTCTACACCTACAGTAATGTCTTCTTATCAAAAACAAGTCTACACTGTAATGACTTAGGTCATTGTATTGACTTTATTTAATTGTAGCTTAAGAGTCCTTGGGCCCATTTTTGGATCCTTCGCAAATGTGTTTTGTCTAATAAAAAAATTGGTAAAATAAGCTGTACTGAATACCCAATCATGCACATTTTTTAATGCTTTGACTCACGTCTTTTTTAAAATGAACACTCACTTTAAAAAGGGAACATTCTCTGCACCCTTAGTAAATCAACCCCTCTGTGTGCACTTGCACAAAGATCAGGTCACAGAATTATTATTCGGATAACGTTGGATTGTTTGAACATTTCTATTTGCCCAGTGACAGATTAGGGCTAGTCGAATTGGTGCTGGTCATTGATGATCTTTATACCTTGCATCATACATCCTGTTGCAGGTTGACAAATTTCCAAGGATCTCATGAGATAGGGCAAAGCTTCAGATCTGAATACCAAGTCCAGATGTTCCTGAGATGAGCTGACTCAAAGGTGCATGATGATGCACAAAATGTTGACAAGAGTTATCTTCCAGTTGTCAGCTCATGCCTACACTTCTGAATCTGTAGTGTCCATGGCGACCTTAACAATGTTCATGGAACTGCTAATTAAGATTTACCTATAACAGCTTTTTATTTATCTGCGTGATTGATAATAAAAATGACAATATCTATGGATATATTACTCTAAATAAAGGTCATGTGGCCAACTAAAAGGAGACACCCATTTCATCCCTCCCCCCAAGGTAGAGCAATGAAACAACATTTAACAATAGTTTTCATTATGCATTGTATCCATGTTTCAAGGCTTCTGCTCACCACATTGGACCTCATTCAAGTGTCTGAACAAATAACTTCTTATATTGTCCAATAAAAACTAATCAGTATGAAATCTAAAGAGGAGAATGCCAATTGGAGAATAACGATTTGAATCTTATTGGTTGGCACGAGGCAATACAGATTCAATGATTACTTATTCCGGGCTCCTTAATAAAGGCAGCCTGTTGCCTGAACATTCTATTGTCAGCAGTGGATACCTGTACACAAACTATCTAGATAACAGAAAGAAGGATCAGCTCACTAAGCTATACCGATCATTATGTGCCACATTGACCATTTTTTGTTATTTTTTTTTAAGCCAATGAGAGCTGAACATTACAGTCACATGGCTGACAATAAAGACTGTTATGTCAGATGAACATGTGTTATAACTTAGTGAATTGAATCAATTTATCTGAGACTGGCTAACTGAGTGCAGTGTATACGTCAACAACTTGTAGAGCCATAATGGAACAAGATAGGAGACATATTTTACTAATACTATTTCCAGAGTTGGTGATCAGGCTGCATTGCTTTACAATTCAAAATCTGTCAAAATATGAAACCCCTGAAATAAACCTAATAATCCCAGTTAACATATCTAACTACATAGCACAGACCGATCACATCATCATAACAATCTATTGTGCTACTTATGGCAGGTCATTGTTCGAAACTGCTACATGATTAATGATTTGTGACCCTTAAGAGGTTCTGCAGCAGCTGCAGATATTGTTGCACAATGCCTCTTTTTTGCGGCTTGTATCCGATCCTCCCCTACAATTAAAATGACAAGAGCCCCCTACTGCCACCCCTGCTAGGCCTGTCCTCAATGTTTGCATTCCTCACCCCTGTCATTCTCATTCTGGTGCTGACGCAGCAGGTGTATATAGCCTTGAGTAACACACCAGCCTCGGTTGGTATTTACATTCTTTTTGCTCACTTTGAGGCCGATTCATAGAAATTTAAGCCATTTAAAAGTCATGATGCACTCGTCTCATTAGCATGGTTCAGTATGAAGCAGTTATCAGTTTAGCTCTTTAATGCGCACTCTTAAAAGTAATGAAACATTCTTTCATGCGAGTGCGCATTCCTTTTATTTGAGGAAAGATTTTTTTTTTCTTTTGAATCTCCATTAAGAAATTCAAATATATATTACTAGTGGAGGTGGACAACTGCAAGAGTGGAATTTTTTATCAGACTCCTATCAGTGCAGCCCATGACGCCCATAGCTGATTTATGTATTGTCGAACTGTGCTTTGCCCATGCAGAACAAAGCAACAGGTTTACTTGTTTCTGGGGGTAAAACATTTCCCTTGCAATGGGGCTGTTCCACACTGCAAGGGTTAACTGCCCAAATAGGTCTAGGTTACCTGGGAAAACACATTTTCTTGCCTGCTCCCTGCTCCCTCAGGCTGCAAGATTGGCACACCCAGCCTATTTGCCCCCCAGGATCTGGTGGTCAGAGGCCTGCTGACATCATCGCATATAATGCAGTGCCCATAAACCTTCATTATATGTGAGGACGCCAAGGGACGGTCCACCAGCTGGAGCTAAGGGAAGACAAGAAGAACGCTGACTGCCGGGAAAGTGGGGTTCAGGAAAGTAAGACTGGTACCCTAGACCTAAACATGTAACCTGGGATCTACGGTGACTTGCCAATCAACACAAAAGGGGGTGGACATAAAAAGAAGGGATGTGTCACAATGACACACAATCCCTACATTCATTTTAATGCACTATAAGGGGGACTAACATTCTTCTGGACACAGTCCGTAGTTTTTTGGGCAGTATAATGAAACAAATAGATTAATGATGAAAAATATAGACAGCATTTACCATCTCACTGTACTGCCTTAGAATTCCATACGAAGGTAGAGATATTTTTTAATCCAGGTTTTTACATTAGGTGTCTGTGTACCCCTGACACATTTCTAAGAGGCCTGTGCAACATAAAATGTAAGTCTTCAAAAAACTTTATTATTGCATATAAGATTTTGGTGAAACTAAGTATAGGGCTTCCTTAACACTTCCTAACTTGTATCAAGACCCAGTTCCATCCACTTGCATTGAGACACTGTTGGGAGCCTCTGTATGCACAGCGAGTATACTTTCCTAGCCTAAAATGTAACCCTGTTCTGTAGAGTCAGCAGCTTCCATTCAGCATGCGCTGAATTCATCTGTCAGGAACCTGTCAGGGAGCCTTGAGAAGCACCCATGTACACAAGCTGTAAATCCGGCTGTAGCTGCACATTTCAGCGCAGCGATTATAGCTGCATGCATTTCCTATTGTGTATTATCAGTATTAGAAAGTACAAAGTTACCTCCCCATTCAAGCTTCAATGTTATGCTTCAAGCCCCAGCTGGACAGAGCAATGCAGTAGTAGGCCTGTGTATCTTTCAGTGGCATCATGTGTTTCAGTCTTGTGCCCTGGCATCACGCTGTCAAGCATTCAGTGTCAGGTCTATTTTTGAATGACACGTCAAGCATGGCTGCTATGGAAGGTGTGAAAGGCATTCCTGGGCTATTTGGAGCCTGGAATCAGCCAGATGTGTTTGGGCTTGGCCTTATTCTCAAGTTCCAGTCTTGGGCTGCAGAACGTACAAGCTGCTACAGAAAACCCTGAGTTTCCTGGGCACTCAGCTGCTAATGGATTAATGCTGCCATGTTAGAGTGGAACTTCATCGAGCTGAATATAAGCAAAGATACTTCTATAGACAACAACGGCACTGCGAAAATATCATCTACTCTGCTGCTGAATAATATGAATTCTATAGATTAGGGTCAACCGAACCTAGACCATTATAGACTATTATAGACTAGTCCATTAAAATCCAATGTTGGAGAATTACATTTTTTCCGCATTTTGTTAGAATAAATAATATTTGTATATTTTACAGTATTTAGAGTAGGTATGCACCAATACTGGCTTTTGGGTCTCGAATACTGATATTTATAAGTCGGTACTCGATACCTAATAGCCATACCAGTACTTCCGCTACCATGGAGCTGGCTTCTGGGGCAATCAGGAAGCCGGGAGGCGAGTCATTACCCACCGCCGGCCGGGAAGCTGGCTCCATGTTTCCTTGCAGCACTGCCGGTCAGAAGAAATCTCCCTCTGACTGGAAGTTCCAGTATCGGTGTATTGAAGCATTTGGGCAAGTTTTCACCCAAATATTCGGTATCGGCACCAATAGCGATACTAGTAAAAAATAAAAAAATCACGTTTTGTTAGAATAAATACTATTTGTATATTTTACAGTATTTAAAGTAGGGATGCACCGATACCGGCTTTTGGGTATTGAGTACAAGTACTGATATTTATATTTCGGTACTCACCGATATCGAGTACTGATACTGGTACTTCCGCTAGCATCCCGGGCAATCAGGAAGCCGGGTTTCATGTCATTACCCGCCACCTGGCTTTTTGATTACTCGGGAAGCCGGCTTCATGCTGTTTGGCCAGCTCCATGCTGATTGACCAGCCACGAGCATCGAACCAGCCATACAGCATGGAGCCGGCTTCCCGGCCAATCAGGAAGCCGGGAGGCGATTCATTAACCACCACCGGCCGGGAAACTGGCTCCATGTGCCCTTACACCTCTGCCAGTCAGAGGAAATCTCCCTTTGACCGGAAGTTCCGGTATCAGTGGCAAGTATCGAAGCATTTGGGCAAGTACTCGCCCAAATATTTGGTATCGGCACCGATACAGATACTAGTATTGGTGCATCCCTAATTTAAAGAGTAACCCTTTCTGGAGATTTTGTTAAAGCATGGAATGACAATAGAATAACAAGTTTTGTCAATAGGGTTCTTTACTTATTTGGTCCATTAAGCCATTATAGAAGGTAGGCAAACTCCGGGCCTCCAGCTTTGGTGCAACTTCAAATCCCATTAGGCATAGCAAGACTCTGAAGGCCACAGGCATGACTCCCAGAGGCTGATGCATGATGGGATTTGTAGTTTCACCCTAGCTGGAGGACCTCTTGAACTCTCCATTCTGTCCACTTCAAAAAATGTTACAGTTTCATAATTGGTATGTGTCTGGCTGTTTGCAATACACATGACATGAGGCTAATGTAATAAAGTTGTAGAG